AATGCTCAAATTCTTTTTGCACCCAACAAACCCGCTATTTTGTTACTGTAGAAATAACAGGTAATCTGCTACGTGCTCAGTACACATTCAAAAGCAGATTCTGTCCATAACAATACTGTGTGACAAACACGTTCAGGACAAAAATGTCAGGATAAAAAAGTGATTGATTATTTTGTCAGAGATATTTCAAAGAAGTCATTTGGTTCAACAGCATGCATGTCCAGGGAGTTCTGCAGTTCAAGCAGTTCCCCCCAGAATGGTGGTAATCAATTCATTCAAGGAGATTTTTGCCAAGCAATAAGGAATGGAAGTGCTCAATAGTCAAGACAGTGGCGGCTTCTTCATCTCAGCACAGGCTTAACTACTTTCAAATAAAACAAATGAATCTGTGCTTAAGACTCGCCAGTCAAGCCAATTCTAGAGAATGAGATGTAATACATGGATGCATGAACTGGAGACCAGAACACCACCACAGCCCATTAGTGCAATAAATAGGGATTTTCTGCATGCACCTTCACTTGCAGTGGATTGTAGCACCAGTCTGTCAAGCAGTTTAGGTGCAATTTTCTTCATAATTACGCTAGGACCACAACAGATTGATTTTTACATACCTACAGAAAACAGAAGAGTTTTACTCATCTGCAAAATGAACTCCGAAAGTAAGGGAACAGTACAAAAAATGTGCTTCCCCTCCTGTCTGGTATGACAGAGCGTTAACTATTCAGGCTTAAAGTAGCAAGTATTCTGTCATCTGTCCTACAACCTGGCCAAAAGAAGTCCAGCTTACGTGAGACAGCAGGAGAGCATCCAGCATTAGCCCTCTGCAAGGCAGGGAGCCCGATCTGCCGATGGGGGCATGTGAATGTGTATGCACGAGAGAGAAAATTATTAAGCTCTGGGGAAATTCACATTATCAAAGATATATGTACCAGCATACATATACTTGTATCTGCATATTGGGGGGAAATGTTATGGCGATAATCTGGAATTTACAATACTGAAAGTTACAACTCAGAGTAAAATGAATCCTTTGATATCAACTGGTTCATTTGCATATTTTGCATTACAGTAAATATTTCATTTAATGTATATGCACAGGTTGCATGAATTTATATTCATGGAAACCATTCTTTATTTCAAATGCAAATGCTATGGTGCATGTGCCATTTATTCTTTTCAAATAAATATCTGGGTATCCAAAAGCAGTGGAGAAATGAGTGTTCCTTAGGAAGGCATGAAATGCGGGCAGTATGACATAGCAGGTATCATTTTAAAAGGCGAGATCAGGTCCCATTAATGTTGCCATTTAAACATGCTAAGCTCCCGCTGAACAGCCAAAGGTTTTCAACAAATTATGCTGTAATGTCCTTTTTTTTTTTTTTTTAAACTACAAAGCACTATTCCTTTCCTGATTGAGCATGCCAGCTACTTCCAATACCACACAGTTGACTACGAACACTCCCAGGTGTCTACACAGAGGAAAAAGCGCACAATGAGTACTTGTGTTAATGCCTCACTGTGTATGTACCTGATGCTGTAAGATAAGGACATTTGTGATTAGCTTAAAAGACAAGGAGCAGTTTCATTGACATCAATGAGACCACCTCCGCGCTAATGCTACAAACCTGCTTTAGCGATCTTCTGAACTGACGTGTGTTATCCACAGTCCTAATATCTCAGCCAATTTGAGAAGCAGGAGAAAGCATGATCCTCACTGAGGGAAGGAGAGAATATGAATCACGATGGTTTAGTGGCGGAGAGGAAAACAGAAATTGTTGAGTCTCAATGTTCAATGAATCTACTGCTTATCCACCGGGAACGTGTCAGGTGCACGTACTAGTTGCATCAGTAATTTGATGCAAACTAGTAAAACTAGTTGCTTTTGTAATTTGGAGATCTGCCTAAGAGGAACTTCACAGATCATCAACTCCTTCAAAATTTCACTCTAGATTTACTGGGAAAATACATGTACTTGCAAAGGCAGATCACAGCTTCCCACTAAATAAATTCTTTGGTTGGTCCAGATGAGAAACAGCCTTCTCCCTATGCTGATCATCTTCAGTGGAAAAACATAGTCTGTCCACTTTCCCCCTCTTCACGTGAACCTCCCAGAGGCAGATCACTGAAAATACCTGATGCACAAACTGAAAGACATGCATCAAAAAGACTTGATAAAATCCTACACTGAATTGTATGTCCACCCCATTGACTTCAACTGAGTTACGTGTTGGACATAAACTAGTGCAGAAAGCAGGCAGCACAATCCATATTCAGAGAACATTTTTCTTCTAAAGAACCCTTGCTGTAATTAACACACTTGCGCATTTACCTGCGGGAAATCCCCTCCAAGAGGAAGCCTCAGTGAGGCAGTCCAACCACACCAGAAAGAGGATATCACTCCTTAAGCTCAACCACCTTAGAGTTTTTCCAAACAGAAATTGGCACACGGAAAAAAAGGAGTATTTTGCAAGAAGAGACCATTGCCATCGCAGTACAAGCACTTGGACTGAGATACAACAATGCAATATTCTTCTGAGTTCATTAGTGCAAGTTTCCACATGTGAACCCCACACGGAATGCTGCACATGAAAAAATGTAAACAACAGAGAAGTTTCTATTCTCATCGGCGCACCAGCCTCAACACCCCCCGCCCCAACACACCCACCCTCCCACCTTCATATAAATGGTTTCGAGTTCCCTTATAGTTCACAATACCCTCTCCTCAACATCCATCCTGCTGGAGAACACCAACGAGCTTCTTCACCAGCAAGGAAGAGCCAGAAGAACAGTTACCATGATTCCTAGATACCTAGAAGGAAGCTGGGCAAAACCCCACTTAGTATGCCAGATCCAGAGTTCAACTGCAACAGCCTGGAGACCACCAAGGCTTTTTAAAGTTTCCTCAGGTATCTTGGACTACTGGAAAGACCCTTTATTACAGCTGGAATCCCAAATGCCATGTTTTTTCTTGGAGCCGAAACCAAGTGAGGCTCCAGTACTCCAGATGAGCGACAGCACTAGCAAGAATTACTTGTCACTAATTCTGTCAACAGCATGACTTAAAACCCATGCCACGTTTTCAGATCATTTCTCTTTTAGTTGAAACTGGCTGGGAAACAAGCAACAGAGAACAATAAAACCCAAACGGCACCTCTGAAGAGCTGTTACACCCATATTGTGCCCAAAGGCCAAGAGGCAGAAGCTCCTCAGTACCTTTGTTTTGAGAGAGAAGACTCAGAGGGACAGTCTTTGAAGGCATCGAGCACATTCAATGTGGATTTGATGTCAACAGAAGGTGCAAATGCATAATGCCATCTAAGATCAGGTACACTGTGAGCTCCACTACAGTCAAAGCAAGTTCAAAACACTGCACTGGAGTCAAAGAGGAGTTAATAATATCCTAGGTTGCCCCTCAACCTACACAAATAATGTTTTCACTTGATTATATACTCTCCCTGTCAAAATCACCATCGCGAGGCTGACGGGAGAAGGGGCTAAATATGATAATATACAAAAATAGAGATGCGAATATAAAACGGTTTGGTTAAGAATATCTTAAAATCTGACATTCACAGCGGTTAATACTAAAGTATTAAACTCACACCACGCAAAAGAGGAGGTATGTCAAAATCATACTGAGAAAAACTGGCTTTACCTAACACAAAGAAATCATGAGCAGTTAATACAGCACGGGAACCCCTTCCAATGATCAGAACATCAATTTTTTTTATGGACAGTTGCTCCACCGAAAGTTAAATGCTTCCTTAGTAGGAAAAAATAATATATATATTTATATATATGATTTGTATACTGTGATATCAATATACACTGAAAGTACTGCAAGGATATATTATTCATTTACAGTAAAACTAACAATTCACGGTTAAATTTATAGTTTATAAATATGCTGTCTATATTATATGTGGTATAAAAATATTTGACATTTTTGTGGGCAGTAGGTCAAAATAAGGTTTTCTTTTTTAAGGGACTAAAAATCATTCAGGTATATGCATATTACCCTTGTCAATTGTGTGAAAATCGTACTGACCTGGTACAAAACAGAATCCTACCGTGTTGGCAAAATGAAAAAGGTAATGTATAACATGATACTCACTGCATGACAAGGCTAATTAGAAGAAAAAAAGAATTTACAGCAGCCCAGTTCTAGCAGTATACCTTTAAATAAGGAGAAGATACCATGATTTAAAGTGACACAGGCAGGAAGAAAGGATGCAGAAGAGATGGGAAAAGCTAAACAGGAGAAAAAAGCAAACTTTATACCCAACAAAAATCACTGAAATTCTAGAAGCAAGAGAGAGCTTGAAATGCTCTAGTTTGGTAAACGCATTAAGGAAAAACAGAGGTGTATTCATTTAAAAAAGTGTGTGATTGTTTTTCTGGATTCACTGCTACGATTGCTGTATTCCTGTAGAAAACAAAGCCCTTTGTGTAAGGTTAATATCTGTCCTGACTGCGTTTTCAAGTTTAACTTTAGTTGCTGACCCTCCGTAGTTAACATAGAGGTTATTTGGCTACTTCCAAGTATCTATGGTATGCTGCTCCGAGACGGACTTCTTTATTATTAATTACTTTAAACATTTTTGGTATTGACAAACTCCACACCTCACCTCGCTGGACAAGTAACGCATCCTGGTCCTTCCATTTCCTTATGTGCTCAGTCACTTCACTGGATTAAGGCATGTTTTTGTGTTCCATTTGCAAAAATAAAAACTTTTTGTACAAATGTCTGGGTTCTTTTATACAAAAATTTTTCTTCTTATGGCACAAGCAGCAGTTGCTGTTTAAGAAAATATATAAATATCCTTTTTTTTTTCTTCTGTACAAATATCTTCAGTATTCCTCCACCCCTTTTAATAACATTTAACTGTACACTGTCCTACCTCATCCCTCGCCGAGAGCTCCCTCCCCCCTCCCCAGTAGAACATTTTGTATTTACACTTTCACAGCGGAGGCAGATAACGGGGCGGGGGGGCTACCCCTCATGAGGAGTCCGTGCAGGGGGACGGCGGCGGTGGGTAGAGATGGTGAGAGTAGCTCCGCTCCGTGTATGGGGAAGGCGGGCAGCTTTCGTAGTTCTCCTCCGCTGACAGGTACTGGCTGCGCGGAGTGGGTGGCGGTGGGACGGGCTCTGAATCATAGTTCAAGTCACTGGTATAGCCCTTGGCCGTCGCTGCCGTGACCCTTCGGCTGGGGGCATAGTCACTGTCACAGACGTCTGTGCTGCAGGGCGTCGTGGGAGGTGCAAAATGCCGGTAGCTGTAAGGCCTGTAGCTGCGGTGGGGAGATTGGTGGGGAAAGTGTCGGAATACAGAAAGACCGTGCATTTCGGGCAATGCACCCGCGAGCAAGCGAGCGGCGGATAAGCCAAGAGGGAAACTGAGAATGGGTCAGCCTCTCTGCAGTAGATGCACAGCGTCACACTCGCCTCTCTCTGACGTCACAAACTCACTAACTCCCCCACAGAAGGCCCACCTTTGCGCTACAGCATCCAATTACAGCAACCAGTTAAAGGGATACTAATTATTAATTACCTAGAGGCAATGGGCTCCCTAAGGCCTTAGCTGAGGTAGAAAAAGTTGCTACTAAGAGAGTGGGGCTGGAAAGGCACCGGGGGAAAAAAAATATCTGTGTTGCAATTGTATGGAAAAGATATTCTATTTCCGTTATCCACTTTATGGATGCTAATTTCTGAGTCCAGAGAGAGAGGTAGGCTGAAAATCACCTGGCACGTTCATAGCAGTCAGGAGAATCACCCGCCAGACCAGTAACTGGGATGGAATTCCCAAATGCTGCTACCACAAAACACCTTTTAAAATGAGCCCAAGATAGTTTAAAGAAAACAAATTAGAAAGGGAGGTGGGTGGTAGCTACAATTGCCAGCATCAAAATCAGTCATTGGGGACAGGTGGGGATGCAGCTCCTCAATATTCAAGTCAGAATGTCAAGAAAAGATGGGAAGATCAGAAGCAGCAAGGCCAGGGTTTGTTTTTGGGTGGGGAAGCATTCAGAAAACATTCAAGCCTACACTACAACCCTAATACATACCATTTATAATACTAAAAGTCACAACAGCTAACTAGTGATCAGCATGATTCATGCCAGTGCCAAAATTTGGGTTTATTTCATTAGAAAATTACTCATAACTTAAAAAGACCTTTCATATGGCTGCAAGGGACCATTATAATCATCTGGTCTGACCTTCTGCACAACAGAGGCCATATTTTCTACTAATGGAGAAGAGATGTCTTTCCAGCCCCAGAGACCTCATTATCCAAAAGCCCCCAAAGGCTCTGTGTTAGGGAGGCATTTCTTTCAATAGACAAACACAGCACTCTCTTCTCCTTGACCAGATCTACTCGCGATTTGGGAGGGGAACCTTTACACCCTTGGGTAGTAGGTCTCTCTTTCTTTATTTTTGGTAACTAGTTATAAAATAATAATGAACTCTAAATAGCATCTTAGAGGGAAGGTGAGAAAGATACATTCAAGTAAATAGAGATCAATCTTGTATGCCCATAAATATTAGCTGGAGAAAATAAGCAAAAAGTTAGCAACTTTTTCCAGATATTAACCCTTAATATGTCAAACCAGAATTTCTGTGCTTTACCTAGGCCGTAATATTAACATTACTTCTGACCTATTCGCCTTTATATTGCTAACTTGCCTCTGCACGGTGTTTGCCTATAATTTCTCATAATTATGTAACAAATTATTTATGACAGAAGCCTGAAAAAAGGCAGAGTTCATTCCAGGGTAGGTATTTTTTGCTCAAAGTTATCACGGTACCAGGTTTCTTCTGGCATTTAGCTAATTTTGTGATGAGTGCTGTCATTCCCCCTAAAGCAATACAGCTGAGAGGTGTACCACTAACCTGCTTACTGTAAGATTTACCTCAAACAGTGCTGCACTTACGCGCACGCTTCAGTGACACAATACATGTGAACCCATTTAAGCACCTGTTTTAGTGCTTGCAGAATTAAGGCCTTTGATTGCAATTCTTATGGAGCAGAGGCTGTCTTTATTCTGCATTTTCTACACTAATGCTTTGATCCTGATGGAAGCTATTGTAATAATAATTACCTGTAGGATCTATGAGTAGATGGGCTGTTTGAAGAGTAACCGAATTCCATGGTATAATGTGAACGTTCAGTAGCTGGTGATGGTGGTGGGTTCAAAATCTAAGGGGATTAAAAAAAAAAAAAAAAAAGAGATGAAGAAGAATCAAGAAATCATCAGTTCATAAATTTCTTCTTAGTACTGTTCAATAGAAACCTTAAGAAGTGCATGCATAGCCCCTCCCAGCAAACAGGATCCTTCTAACAGGCACTGGAAACGTCACTTGTTATTATTCCCATAGAAGCTATTACTAAGCTCCTCTCAAAAAAATGCTGACTGCTGTTGCTATTTTGACATACCCAGTGCCGAAAAGCAAAGTTGAAGCTAGCAGTTCAATACTAGATTGTCACTAGGGATACCACTGCCCTAGGCAAACTGGCAGATGTCTGCTCTTGCTAGCCATAGTCCCCAAGTATTCTGCTGTTTATAATATTTGCAGCTGTCCAAGGCAAGCATTTCTTCCCTATATAGGCATGCTTCTTACTGCACAAAAAGTATTTTGATCAAGTTAAAGATATAACATGATTGGTTGATTCTCGGAACTGGAAACAGACAGTTGAAGACTTCAGCCTGCACTGACCAAGCATGTAACTCTTCAACACCTGATAGTGGCTTGGAGGACTTAATATAAAAATAGCTAAACCAACAACCACTGATGCTAGAAGTAAAGAGACAGGGAGCCCTCTAAGGGCTGGTACCAACCTTGACATAGCATCCAGCACAGCACACTACCCATTTGTGACTAGAGGAATGCTAGGGAGGTGCAAGACACTTGCTTATTTATTTATCTGTCACTTGCAAGACACATGACACAAAACTTAACTTTAATTCCTTTAAAGGTCTATACAGAATCAACCATAGCCTTACCTCCAGAAGCACATGGCAGAGCATAATGAAAGGAGATCGCTCTGCCAGATCTGCTCAACATTTATAGGGATTTTTTCATCTCTCCTGACACTCAATCTAACATCTTCTTGTGGCACTCAGCTCTCGCGCAGCTTTTTAAAATTAATAGAAAATTCCTCTACTGTTTTTGAAGAAGACTATCTCCTCTTTCTTCCTTTTCAAAATCACTTGCTCCATGTTTAAACAAGTTTATTAGGCTAGAAATCTAAACCAAAACATTCATCTGTCAATGAATTATCCTCAGAAAGACACTGGCACTTCCCTGAAAGTTATTAAATGTCTATGAATAATAGAACTGACTTACTGGAGGAAAGTAAGTGCCTTTGGTACTTGAAGAACTACTGGAAGAGGCTCCAGTGACATGGGCCCTGTCATAGGGTGGCCCACTGCTTCCTCCCATAATGCTGAGGGAGCTGATCACGGATTTACCTCGAGACATCCCTGAAGAAGAACAAAGATGTATGTCAATATTCCATTCTTTGAAGCAAACAGAGAAAAAGCTTTAAAAAATAATAAGGATAACAGCTGTACAAGCACAACTACTAAAGCCAAAATTAATCTTCTTGATATTAAGAGCAAATTCAGTGCTCCTTGATGGACAACTGGAATGAAGACTGTCAGGGAATAAACATGTTGGTTTTGTGTATCAGCTACTCAGCTGCGGGACTTGGCACTGGGCTATACTAGAGCTGTGTGAAGAGAAACAGATTTCTTTCACTTGAACGGCTGGAAAAGACTTGAGAGAACAGGCATTCAGGCACTATTTCTATGCCTCAGAATAAAACATGAAACTGACTCTGACCACCTCAACTGAGCAACTGAAATTTGTGCGAGAGAAGAGAGGGTTTGTGTTCTTTCATTTCTACACCGTTAAGTGAGCTTTTGCTACTGGACTGAAGCACGCTGGCAGAGAGTCCAAGCGGGAAACGGAGAGGTACGCCACTGTGCTCGAAATAATGGTGAAAATTCTGCTCAAAGACTCTCCTTATGAAAGCAGGTTATTACAGAAAGTAAAGAAATTTGGTGCATTATTTTAACCCTGTAACAGCCTTGCAGAACCTCTATGTTCTGACTGGAACCTGCTGGATCCAAAGCCACAAGTTACAGTACATATTTAATCAATATATACAGAAGCAATGCATATAAATGAAATGCAACATTGTGGTTAAGTCTTACTTTTTAAACAGCAGTGGCCTCATGCCCTTGGATTGGTGTTGGAAACTTCATCATCACAAGAAATAAGCCGAGACCACAGTTATTGCTGGTCATTACAGACTTTACAAGAAGTTTCACAAGCTTACAAATCCAGTCTACAAATCTAACAAGAATAATTACATATTGTTTAAAGTCCCATGATACCTTGCTGATGCTATAAAAGCCCCAAAAGAGGTTTCTTTAGTACCAAAGGAAGAGAACTCCCACCAGTATGTGTATCTATTTGAGCTTATGATTCTGCTAAGTATCTAAATGCTTGTGAATAGCATAGGTAAAGTAGCAGCTCATTATTATAAGGGTGGTGACAAGCCTTGATGGTCCTTGCTTCCAACAGCTTCCAAGAATTACGCATCAGGAATGGACATCTCCTGTGTACTCAGCTACTGTGGTACCAAAGAGCAGGACAAGGATCACACCATTTACTCACCAGGAAGAGACCCTGACAAAGAGCTTGGGTGAGGCACATAACCAAGAGGTACAGAGGCTGGTCCGTGCACCACGTAATCATTGGTCATTGTTTCCCCATCTCCCTTCATGCGTGGGCACAGCACCCTCTGGCAGATGAAGTACATTGCTCCAACCACAAAAACTGTAAGGATCACACCAATGATGGAGCCTATTGTGTTGTTGGGCTGTGGTGCAGGCTCCTCTGTTGTGTCTAAAAGGAAAAAGGAAAATCAGACTGTGTCAGTTAATCCAACAGCTTCATGTACCAACATCAGTTTTCCTGACACATCTTTCCACACAGGAAAAATAAAAGCCTCCTCTTCTGTAGGCAGACAACAGCTTTCAAATTAATATATGGCAGGAACAAACAGGTCCTGGGACAGGTCTGTTTAAAGACTCTGAGTGTCCAAAAGGGCTATGTGTGCGCAAGATGACCTCTGCACATGCAGAGAGGTTTTTGAATCACAAATGCCTGGAAATGAACAGTACATGCATGTGCAGGGGGGGTTGATGAACGAGGTCCTGATCTTGCTTCATGCTGACAGGCAGGGCTATCCTTTGAACTGGATGAACACGGTGAACTGGATGACTCCAGATAGCACTGTGCTAGGGACTCCAGTTATGTTTTTTCTTGTCATTAAAAATGATGACAAGTACTTTTTATGTTGCACCCCATCACATAAGCACCTGGGTTATCACTCAGTGTAACAGATTGGCACTCCCTTTTCTCAACTGTGTAACATTTGATTACGCTGAACAGTAGAGGTGATGCACCAATGATGAATTTTGAGATTGCTGCTATTTATTAAACTACCTAACCTACTCCACATCTGATCCACACTGATGGTTACAGATATAGCTGAGCATCAGCTTTAGAGGTGCCATCCTTACGAGAAAT